CTTCTTAAAGTAAATCCCAAAAAAAAAAAAAAAATTTAAAACAGAAAAAGATTTTCATGGTTTTTTTTTTTTTTTTTTTTTTTTTTCTCTCTCCTTTTTTTCTCAGGATGGAGCAGATTATTCAGGCTAGGGCAAACAGAATTCAGCAGCACACCTGTCCTTAATCACTGGATCATTGCTACTTCTTTTCAGGGAGCTGCCAAAAAGAATAGAATAGAATAGAATAGAATAGAATAGAATAGAATAGAATAGAATAGAATAGAATAGAATAGAATAGAACATACACATATCTAACAATTCTAGAATTTGTTGTGGCCCTATCTTGATGCTGTTGTCACACAAGAACAAGAATTTGTGTGTATATATAAGTGCATATATACTTATATGTATAAGTACATACTTATAAAATACACGGGTATTGAACACTAAAAGGACATCATGGTATGCCTGTGCAGTGGAGACAAACAGCAAACAGGTGTGCAATAACAGCAAAAATATCTTTCAAAATTAGTAAAAAAAACGGAGTAAATGATTATGCAAATGCCAGCAGGGATGTAAACTATGGTTATAGTTTTAGAGTATCAATAACTGGATGCTTCGCTATTCAGGTCAGTATGAGCTGCATAAATTCCCCCCGCCCCCATCTCTCTAGTGTTGTAGCTCAGCTCCTGCTCCACCTCACAAGGAAGAAACACCTGCTGCTCCTAAGTACGTGCAATTCCCTCACTCACTCTTATGCACTCACTCTCTAACTCATTCAATGGCGATGTAAGATCACATTAAGGTCAAATGGTAGCTTATCGTATTTGGATTTCTATATGCAATGTGCCTGAGTTTGGCATGGTACTTACAGCTTCGGGAAAGTGGATCGCTTGTTGGAGTTGCATGTGGGAACTCTCGTGCTCCATCACATATTCTGACATGCAAAATGATTGCATGGAAGGAGGTAAAATGCACGCCAGTAGACGAGCTGATTCATTCTTCTGGCATAAAAACAACAACTGTTGACGTCTGCCACTGTGTGGGTGAATGCGCTATTCCCTAAATCGTTCACACCTCAATAAGCTCGTGGAGTTGTGTTTAGAAATGTGTAAACTGCTGCAAAGCAGCATGTAGCAACATGGCTCTGTGTGTGTGTGTGGTGCATTGTTGTTTTTCCAAAATCCACGAAATGTACCATAGCTATGTGTATAAAGTACACACACTCACAAACACACTTATAAATATATAAAAACAGTCTGGCCGTCCTTCAGTTGGGGCACATGCCTGTGGCCTGACTGAGTCTGTGGCTGGTGTAATGATGACAGGCTCACAAGCACACAGATTCCAGGACCACCACACACATGACTTGGCTGGGCCTCCGTGTGGTATATTGTGCTGCTGACAATGCTCCAATTACTCTCAATTACTCAGAAGAATGGACATTAAATTTTTTAAATGGTTGTGTCTCAACAGTAATAAAACATACTTGTGTACAAGAGTAAAAATAGCAATACCACAATGTGAAAGTGCTCCATGAAAAGTTAATTGTAAATATTATCGGTGGTAGCTTCAATCATAATCTGCCTGATCCCATACACTTTAATCCTGAGCAGTCATTATGGAGATAGAATGGCTCTTAGCATTATATGACAGTGTAAGAAAGTCTACTATTTTCCAATTATTTATCATGCATTAGACTGAAATATTTTAATCCAGTTCCAGGGTTATGAGAAGTTAGTCTCTTACTCTTTTTGTGCTGTCGTTTACTATAAATTTAGTTCAGTTTGTGTTGGCGGTTGACCCAAGACTAATCAGAGCCAAGACCGATCATCTTAAAAAAAAAAACAGTTCTAAATATATCATAGCAGTTTATGCAATCACTATTGTCTTCAAATCACTGTGATGATATAAATACATATGTGTTAGCCTTGTAGACAGAGACTAACAGGTATTCTGAAAGATGTGAAGACCAAAGCCCTCTTCTACTGCCTCAAAACAACTTCAGTGTTAAAAACATCGTAGTAGTTTAAGTGAATAGCATTTCATTGACCTTTAAACCATCATGACAATTGCCTTTGTTGATTATTTACAGAGAACATGGAGGTGGTGTGCCACCAGTGATATTCCCATGTAAAAAACTGAGCATCAGCTGCGTTAAAAGTGGAGCAGTTTAAAAGACTAAAAATGTGACCAGAGTTTTGGTAAACAATATTTTAATGATTTTTACACTGCCTTATTTTTCCACTTACAGTACTCCAACTGGAACCTAAAGTATGCTTCAAGCAGGACGATCATTGGTGGTGCACTGCCTCCAGACTCTGTATACCATGTAAAAAAAATATATCACAAATTTCTCTATATTTAAATTTTTGCATTGAATATTTACTTATAAACAGATTGGATGGTTATTTACTTAGAAACAGATGTTTATAATGGAAATACAGGTAGGAACTAGTGCACCACTGATGAGCTTCCTGAGTGAAACATCCCGATTCAGAATGGATCATAAGAAGCATTTTCGGATAAACTTTGGATAAACTGTCAACAAATTAAAGAAGTATGACATGAAAAAATAATATAGTAGTTAATTGAGTAGTGTTACACCTGATCCTTTTTTTAATCAGGTCTATACACTGAATAAATGCTTTACAAGTCCTGCCCTCAGCAAATCTTTCACACAGGAAAATCATCGGTGACAGACTTCCTCCTATTTCTATTTTCTACGTGATTAATCTTTGGAATCTGTGTAAACTATACTTATGAAAGAAACTTATTCTTAGCCTCTCTCTGAGTTGTTGTTAGCTGCAAATTCTGGTCACTTCTAATCTGGATTTATACTACATGGGAGCAAGAGAGTTATTAACTGCAGGTAATATATGAACTGTGTACAGCCTTTAACTAGAATCTTACTGAATTAAATCTTTAGCATGTAAATTTGGTGGAGAGTACAGAAATAATGACCAGTTCTTATAGTCTATAGCTCTTTAATAACAGAGTAATACTGCTCTAGTTTTGTTTGCAAAACTTAACATCTGTGTCTATGAGTCCAAACAGATAAAGAGGTCATCTGCCACACTCAGATATCAACAGAGTCTCACGTTTCCTTTGATCTGACAAGAAAATCAAGCAAAAAGTACAGTCATTTTCTCACCATCTTCTAATCTAAACAGGCCTAATTACAGGCACCCATGTGAATTTGAGAGGTTTTATAGCCTATATATTAGAGCACACAGATTGCACAACATGTCAGGAAGCAGGCAGTGCTGCGCAACTCGAGAGATTACAGAGATTGAGAGGCAAGATCCTTTTTGGGGTTGCATCACACAAAAAATGTAAGTGTTGTTCTGCACTTTAGTTCACGAATGCTGGTGCAGATTGAGAAAGATGAAGTAATTAGAGGCTTTAAACCAGATAGGCAACTATCTGTTCTGCTACATATAAATAAGTCATAATTAGAAACTAGCCAACACCAAAGGTTTAGGTTACAAACACTCACTGCAACACACATACTTTGTTATTACCACTTTGGTGTTAACATTTGATATGACCACATCCTGTCCTGTGCTCTCCCTGTGATGTAGCCTTCGCAAATCACACTTACAATTCAGCCGTGTTAAAATGAACAATTTATTCTCCTGCTGTGACTAATTCTTGGATGATTTAAGGAGATGTTCATGAATGGGGAGTAGGTCTTGTTCAAACATTTAAAGGGATCATGTAAATGCCTTTTTAGGAACTTTTCAGATAATCTTTTCTTTATATGGCGAATGGAAACAGGAAGAACTGTGCCAGCAATTATTCTCCTGTATGACACACTGAGGATCACATTCGACTCTGTCAGAAGAGTTAGGCATAATCACCAAATTGACAATAATTTAACCTACTATAATATGTTTGCTTAATACACTGCTTTTCTTTAATGTTAGGAAATTACTCTGATTAAAAACACTGTTGTTTTGTTTTCAGAAAGTGTTTTACATGCAAGGATCAATGGTGGTGGTGCACTTCCTTCTTCCTCCATTTCCTGTGTAAATAATTACAGGCTTCTGTCTAAATCCCTGGCAAAAGTGACAACCGATTTAAGGTAAGTAAAATGTCATTTGGATAAAACACAGTGATGTTTCTAAGACCGGAGTTGTTTCTAAAGAGCTTAAGTGCACTTTGGTCTTGGTCGCCCTCTGACAGACTGTGGGATTCCCTTTAAGACAGTCTAATCAGTATTTATAGTCTCAGAACAGTTTGAAGTCTCATAAAATCGTATTATTATAAAGCAGCATAAAGTTTTGGAGATCAAATTTGATCTTAAACATCAACTAATTTCGATTTGCTCGAAGTAAGAACGCCATTAGGGCTCGACACTGTACTTAAACCAACCCCTCTTATTTCACAAATTTTTTACTTTTCACAATATAGTTGCTATTTTACTGGTAAACACATCTTTCCTGCAGAGACAACAGTTAAACCTAATTAATTTGGGGCTAAATCTCTTCTGCAATACGTTTTATGAAATGATGGACAGCAAGAATGAGGTTATCATGAGACATTTAATAATAAAACAAATATTCACATTTTCTTTACATGGTTTCATATAAAACAATATATTTTAATATATTTATATATCACATATTTACAAAACATGCAGCACCATGTTTTTTATAATACTGGTGTTGACTTAAAATTCAGTGGGACAAATAAGTGCCACCTACAGGATATTATTTACACTACAGTAATTTACTGCAATAACAGTGGCTCAAAGTTCCATAAAAGAGAAACAAAAGCAGCTCTGCCACTGACGACACGAATCGATTCCCCAAATCCTTCTGGAATGTCACTTCCTGATTTCAGATTCTTCACCTGTTGACGGGGAACCGGAGACGCTGGTCTCACAATTTTGTGTCCCTGCGGGTGTCTCGTTTTTCCAAGATTCATGTCCATCCTTCCGGGTGATGTGTTGGTGTCAGCAAATTTAGCAGGAAAGAATGTCTCAGGTGGAGGGTGTCTTGTGCGTGTGTGTGTGTGCATATGAGTGTGTGTGTCAGCATCTTTTGGTAAACACAAGATTGGAAGTGGAGGATTTGTCAGTGTCTGCAGAGTCTGCACTGATTTATCGATGTGTGTCGTTGTGTGTGAGTTTTTTATGCCCCTCTGGGTCTATGCGCCTGTGCGGTTGTGTCAGCGTCTCTGACAGGTGTGTAAGTTCCGGGCTGCAGTCCTGCTGACACCGTGGTCTCGGCTGACACCGTGGTCTCGGCTGACTCCGTGGTCTCGGCTGACTCCGTGGTCTCGGCTGACTCCGTGGTCCCGCTCTCCTTTCTCTGCCCGGCACACTAGGCCCTCGCCGCAGTCGCAGCGCTGGAACAGCTCCAAGCCATGATTGCCTTTCCTGCGGTGGCGTGTGCACACCTGGCCCTCTGTCAGCACAGGCTTGCAGATGCGGGACCAGAAGTGCCTGGCACAGCACAGACCCTCGGAGCAGTCTGTGGATCTCAGACATGCATCACCCTCCTGGCCTGGAGACAGGGACAGAATTGACATTTGTTACATATAACACTTCTGAAAACATCCTGTTGACTCTGTGACACAAGGCTGGTCTGACAGGTAACACACCTTTGACAGCGTTCGGTTGGAAGCCAGAGGCTGTGGGTGTCCTCTTTCCTTGATGCTCCATGGTGTTGTTGTGTTTATTCCAGCCAGGGGTGACAGATAAGTCTGAGCTGTGAATGTCATTTATCTGACAAACACCTTGAAGAGGACAGCAAATGAGAGTGTTAAAGAACTGTTTGCGACAGAAGGTGACACATGGAAAGTATGAATGATAAACATATAAAGTAAGCGCAGAGAAAACTCAAAACTACGTGAATCAGATGGTTCACAGAAATGATCACATATCTGACGTCTGCTCACCATTGATGCAGCGGTTTCCTGCGCAACACATGGAGTCCCTCACACAGCGCTTCCGGCACTTACGGCACGGCAGACAAACACCCCGGGCGTCGTTGCAGAACTCATCACCTCCGCAGTCTTCGTCATCTGTGCAAGCACCTGACTGCTGCAGCATAAAAAATATAAATAAATAAAAAGTTAATTAAAAAAGCCGAGCATGTTTTTACGCATGGTTTTGACTGTTACTCATACTAGAGTTAGTTTACCTGCAAGGTGTCAGAGGGTAATTTGTGTCCCATGCCACCAGGCGGTGAGGTGCGCGGACTTGGACTGACGGTGTCTGCACCTTTCCCCGCAGCGGGTAAGGTTTTAATCGCGTTGGAATTCATCAGGACTGCTCCCGCGTAAACGTCTCCGCAGTATCCAAACAGAAAGAGCTGCACAGCCAAAATATGGTGCGCAAGGGGCATCTGCATGATACTTCTCTTCAATTCTTTAACAAACATAGAGAAAGAACGAAAACAAAAAAAAAAGATATCCCTTATGTTATGCTGAGTAGTAAAAAGTGACAAAGTCCAAACGGCGTGGGTATCCCAAAGTTTCCCAGACAGTTTCGGCACGATGCTCGGATGCCTCCTGACTCAAAAAAGTCCTGGGGTGATCTCTTTATACATGTAGACCTGTTTGTCTTCCCGCCCCTCGCTGTGCACAACAAAGGCGGAGGGGGAGGAATTTCAAACAGAGCCCCACTGTACGGAAATAGCCATCCTTTGCACAGGACTACATTTCGCGGTGTTTGTGGAAAGATAATGACCCGCAGAGTCTGTCTGAATACCCATCAGCGGCGCGCAGGGGACATTCAGCAACACCCCTAGATTCCACACGAAATTATCAGACTTTAGAGTCAACAACAAAATCACTATTGGATATCTGATCTATTTGTCTTTTAAATACACAAACTGAACAACATTTTTTTTTTAAGTTTTGGCCTCTTTGCAGTTAAAGTATCCCATTTTTTGCACCTTTAAATTTTCTATACTTTTATAGCGTTTGTTGAGATTATAAAAAATAAATCACCTTTCAGTTGGTAAAATCGTAAGCATTTTCTTAACATAAAAATGTAAAACTAACAACGAAAAAAACCTTCCATCTATCATTTCAACAGCAGCCATGAGCAATCTTTATGACGGTCCAAACATACTGGCTCATTTGATTCTTCCAGCCTCTTTGACATCCAAGATGACTCTAAAGTACCCTTTGGCACTTTCAGGACCAAAGTGATTGAAGTTTCTTTGGTCGATTAACCACTTCATTTGATCCTTCTGATTTGCCAAAAGGTGACAATTATCCACCAAAGTGTGCTTGATTACACCAGCGGCGGACATCAATGTGTTTAGGATATGCGGGGCATTATGGGGTGTGAATAGTTTGCCGAATTAACGGACTTCCGTAGGGGAGGCCTTCAAGGAGTGACTGGCACTTTGAGATTAAAGGCGACTCTGATCTGCCCCTGTTGGGCTCCAGCATCGCGACAGATGTCAATGAAGAGAGGATTTGTATTCAACAATATACAATGGATGGATAGATAGATAGATAGATAGATGGATAGATAGATAGATAGATAGATAGATAGATAGATAGATAGATGTGCTCTTGAACGTCATCTGCTGGTCAATTTCGATAAAAATATGTGTGAGCGAACCAATCGGACTGCCTGTGCGTGCATGCGTTTGTGTGAGCACGCATGGTCGTCCTTGGACATCTGACAAACACGCAGTACTTTGCGCGTCTGAATTGGTGCATATCTTTTGAAGTGGCGCTTTTATCTCCACCTTACTAAATGTCAGAGCAGGTAAGATGGAGGTCCTTTGATGCAGTAGATCCCCTTTGATCTCCTATAAGTGTCACCCTGTTGTTATGACCGAAGCCAATTCCCTGACCCACCTCTCGCCCCCCACCTCTAAACGGATTTCTGTTGTGCGAAAAACATCGAGCTGAATCATTTCCACTTACCTCTAAACTGCATGTCATTAACTCCAGGACTGATTATTACAGTTCGCAGAAGACCCTGGCTCTTTACCTAAAGGATTTTTTTTTTTTTTTCTGGCCAGCCGCTCCCTCATGTGGCAGCTTCGGCAAACTACAAAGCAAGACTAGGCATGACATTATGATCACCTGACTGATAGAGTTTTGTTTACTCTTTTCAATCATCCACTCAGCCAGAATGTTTTTATATAGTACCATATGTTTTAAACAAATGACCACATGTCTTGGAATGAATTAATTCTAAAAAGCAGAAAAGCACAACACTGCATCAAGGAAATAAAACTAAATGATCACAGTAAATTTAAGTTGTGAGGAGGGATCTGTAACTATGAAGTCCCATACACCACAAAGTGTTAATGCCCTGATTTTGATTTCTTTCTTTCAATCTCCCTTGTCCCCTGTTAATTTTTCCTGCTTCTAAGGTATCAACTTTAAGAACAAAATGTTGGCTTTGAATTAAACCCCACCAACTAAAAGGTTTCATGATGATATTAAGCACTTGTATCCACTTCTGTCTTGTTCTTATCCCTAATCAGTTAAGACAAAAACTACAACAGACAAGCATGACTCAAAAGCATTGTTTTTTTTTTTTGTTTGTTTTTTTTACTCTCTATATATATTTTTTTTTAAAAAATCTGACACGTGGCACTCTGCAAAAGTAAACAACAGCAAAAAATAACACAGGGCTGATAGAAGGCATTTGAGAACAAAAATAAAACTCCTCGGGATTGGAGAGAGGTGAGACACATAAGGCTTTGTGATAAACATAAACAAAAGCATACATAAAATCTTTATATACACATTCCCACTCTTTTTTCATCACCCAAGAAATAATGATTTAAATGACCTTGACTTTTTATTAGGAAAGACAGATATTTCAGTTCTAATAAACAACAAACTACAGGTTGAAATTGTGTTATTCATTGAAAACTGCAAATCATTCTTGCCCTCTCTGATTGTTAAGATTTCATGGCTGTAACAGGTGATGGGTGGACCTTCTGGATTACGATTAATGCTCACTGGTGTTTCATATCAGGCCATAAGTGGTTGATTTCTTCAGATCACAGAAGATCACAGAAGATAAAAAGAGAAAAGCATGTCATTGCAGCCAAGTCAGGTATTGTTTTTTTAATTAGTGTCTTCATAAAATAAATTAAATATCATAAACAGGAAATGTATTTCATTTATCAACTGTAAGCCTTAAAACAATTGTATTCTCTCCTTGGGTGCTAAGCGTTGTTTTTTTATAACAAAGGGTGAAACATAGCAGTCTAAAGAGGACATATGTTTCTGAGGTGTATATGTGTTCATGCAGCATTGCAAAGGTCATGTGATGTTTATTCTATATGCCATTGACGTAAGGCACTTACAATCTGTTTGACTTTAAATTCAGTTGTTTTCTTAGTGTAGAGAGGTGAAACTTGTTGGGTGACCAATGGGGGATTGTGACTGCTGAGTCTTAATGAAATGAGTGTTTCCAAAACAAATATGAATAGGTTTGTTCACATGTTTGAAAAAGATGTGTAAAAAGCCATAATATATACGTATTTGCTTTTACAGTAGCATCATTTTACAATATGAAAATTACAAAAAAAATTCAACTTTTAATTTCATCGGTGGGAAGTCCATGTTAGGAAGTACTTGCTTTTGAAAAAAATTACAGGAGGCACAGATGTTGGTAATACTAAACGTCTTTTAAAAGAAAAGATAACTATAACTTAAAAAAAAAAAAACTCATACTTGTATTTTTTAAAGTTGATTGTGAGATATACAACCTTCTAATTCATAAACCGTAACGTTTTATGTGAAAAAAATATAGTACACAAACCAAGTAGAGAATGTGAGTGTCCCTGGTCTATATTACCACAATAAATAGTAAGCAGGCAGGTGAAAAAAGTCAAGTTCTCCTGTTAGTGAATTGCTACAAAGAGCCCCATATTTGGGACCTTAGGTAATATTTTCTTGGACATCGAGATTCAGTATTACATGAACAAACATTTTGAATGGTTTTAGTGTGAAACAAGAAATGAATATGAAGAAAAACACGTCAGACCCACCGTAAAGTATGGTGGCAGGTATGTTAAGCTGTGGACCTGTTTGATTTTTAGAGAGCATGGCATTACCAACTCATTGAAATTCCATAATATCTTAAATAAACATCTGGTGGACTCTGCAGGAAAATAGAAACAGATTTTCTTTGTATATTTTAGGAGCCAGAGCATGTGGCAACCACAACCGAGATAATTCCCAGACAAAATGTACCATCTTCCATTGCTAACGCAACCTCCAAACCTGAACTTTATAGAAAAAATTTGGGATGAGCTGAAGAGAAGAAGGCATAGGAGAGGATCCAGAACTCTAAACAATCAAGATATATTGTGCAAAGGGGAAACTGTAGCCTTGGGAAATGTTATTAGAGAAGTCCAACTATTGTCTCAATGGATGAAGCGGTTTGTATAATGAAATAGTAGCTGGAGTGCAAACAGTTGTACTAAAAACAACTAACTCTTAATGTTTTTTTATACTGACTAAATGAAGTCAAATTAAAAGTTTATTCTTTTGTAATTTTTTAAAAACTTTAATTAAAGAATAATTTATTTTAAGGCATTTACACATCTTTGTCAGGAGTGCTGACAAACGTATCTGGTTCTCTACTGTTGAATTGTCCTTAAAGGCATTATGAAGCTGGCTGAAAGAGAAAGTTTGGTCAAATTTAGTTTGGCGAGATGGTTGAATCTGGGTAAGGAGAGATTGTCAAATTTGACTCATTTTAGTTAAAATTACATTTAGCACAATGCAACATGGTGTCAAGATCTTCACTCAAGTTTGAAAACTTACACACGTCTCCATTTCTCTAAAGCATGACATCAATTACATCACAAAGTAATCTGGCACAAAAAAAAAAAGAGGGAGAAAGAATCACAGTACAAAACCATAAACAGTACTGTCATCTCAACATTGCTGATCATAATTCACCAACAGCACCAAAGACACTGAAACCAGGTTCACAGTTATTTCAGAGCTGTACAAGAGCAAACGGGGAACATCGGGGTTCGGAGAGCGGCGGTAAGGATTTCAATGGATTTAAAAACAAAAAGCAGAATGTAACCGTGAAACACAATAAAACGACGACAAAGAATTCGACTCGTACTAAGGTTTAAAACAGACTTATAACCGTTCAGTTAATGGTCTTAAGTGCATAATGACACACTGCTTCATGGAGATGCTAGCCGAGCTGTCATATGTGCAGATGTGTTTGATTCATTAAGCTTTAAGCAGGGCACTTAAAGAGTCGTGACTCTTTCCACTGAATGCACAGCGTTTGTGCTTTTCAAGGTAGATAAAACTCATAGGAAGTGTACCAAGCGTTTTGTTTATGTCCATGTATGACAATGTAACTGGTATATTCAAACACTATGTGCCACACATAGCTTAATGTTATGTAGGTATGCTAAATAGGGAGAGAATAGTTGACATTCAGGTTAGTCTTGAGCACTTGATAACTGGAAACCATAGTGTGTACATCTGTGGAAAGTATAATAGATTGTTGCGAGTAGCTGCGAGTCACGAACCAGGCAGCAGCTGCAGCAACATCCCGAAGTCCAGCGAACAGATCTGCAGAGACAGACTTTGTAAATAAAATTGACATACATTTCTCTGTTTCTGAGCAACTTTGGCTGTTTTCGCCCTCCTGTTAACCGCAGAATTCAAACCTAGTTAAGTTATCACACATTCATACATCCAATAAACACCTTCCCCTGTTGCAGGGGAAAACCTGGCTCCAGTATCAGCCTAACTTGTATGTGTGTGTAAATGTCTGAGTATCCCTGTGCTTCCTTTACCTATAAACTTGAGTATAAGACAACACTGAG